GTTTCTATCCCGGCGCAGTCATATCTGATTCCCGAAATTGACACTTTCCGGTGAGGAATCATTGAGAAAATAGCAAGTCGAGAGATTGGGTTTATGATGGCGGCGAGCGCGAACCCGTCGGGCAACAATCAGGAAGGTTCGTCGGCGGCGCAGAAGGTGTCGTCTTCATCGGCGACGGCTACTAATGGCGGTGCTGTAAATTCGGTCGATAATGGTGGCGGAGCGACGGATAATTCTCAGACGATTAGCGCGTTGAGGCATAATCCAGGGATCTCTGTCGATTGGACTCATGAGGAACAATCCTTATTGGAAGATTTACTCGCCAAGTATTATCTTGCTCTCTCTTTCTTTCTCTTTCTCTCCGTTTTGAGATTTGAAATTTTGCTGTTTTATTCAATGTTCTTTCTAACTTTACAGTTAAATTTTGGAATTTTGTCTTCTTTTTCCTTTGGGATTTCAAGCATCTTGTGTCTAATTCTCTGAAGCATGGTTCATCGAATTCTAAATCGGAAAATTTGATGATGTTCTGACTTCAGTTGTGTGAGAGTGTTGTTAGCTTTTATGGGTACCTTACTAGAGAAGAAGTGGCCTTGGATGAGTTTATAAGACTAGCTGATGTTGTATCATATGTTTTGAGGGTTGAATTGGAGTATGAGTGGTCTAACTATTGGATATGAAATGATTTGTAAGTTTTGTATGAGCCTTTGTTGAATCCGGTCACTCTTTTAATGATTGATGTTTATACAGGTACTCGTCAGAATCTACGATTGTTCGTTATGCTAAGATTGCGATGAAAATGAAGGATAAAACTGTCAGAGATGTTGCGCTGCGTTGTCGATGGATGACTGTAAGTTTCTTAGTTTTGCTAATCGGCTAGTTTTTCTTTGTTCATCGATTACTCTTCTTCTCCATTGGCTTTATTCATTAGTGAAGATGCACTGATGTTTTTTTCTTTCCTTCTCTTTTGATTGCTGATGGATTACAGAGAAAGGAAAATGGAAAGCGTAGGAAAGAAGACCATTCGTCAAGGAAAAGCAAAGAAAAAAAAGTATGTGGAATTCAATTCCTACTTCCTCCTATAGCAATCTTGATACTAGGAAAGATTCAAATTAAAGGAAGATAGTCGACACACGGACCATAAATTAGCTTGGTTGTGTCTATATGTGTAACTAGCTTGAACTTTTAGGCATTTTCTTGTGATTTTAGACGGGTTAAAGTTATTGGCTTGTCTAAGGAAATCATTTTCTTTTACATATCTGTTTGGCAGGAAAAAACTACGGATTCTTCAGCCAAGTCGTCATCTCATTTGAATGTGCATCCTAATGGTCCTCCATATGCTCCGCCTATGATGCCTATAGATACTGATGATGGTATTTCATATAAAGGTTTGTCCACGAATTTAATTTTTTTTTAAGCTAAATCGTCTAGATTGGATTAGATGGAGCATCACTGTCTTGACTTCTTTGCAGCTATTGGTGGTGTGAGTGGAGATCTTCTCGAGCAAAATGCTCAAATGTTCAATCAAGTTACATCAAATTTCTCAGCTTTTCAGGTGAATTTCTCAGCTTGTAGAGTTTTGTATACTTCGTTGG